AATCATTGTGTATTTAACTTGAATTTTGCTACAATAGGCTCCATTCTTAACTATGGGTTGTGTGTAACCCAGGCGTTCTTAACCCAGGGACTACCTGTACTTATAATACATAAAAATAGTATTACAGGTAGTCCTTGCTTATCGACGGCTCATTCAGCAACCATTCAGAGTTATGATGGTGTGAAAAAATAACTTTATAACCAATTTCCAACCATTTCCAACCTTTGCAGCATCCCTCAGTCATGTGATCGCCATTACTGTTAGTACACATTGTCCTGTACTAGACCTGTGGTTTTTTCTTCCCCCCACCCCTTGCAGAGCAGAGAGATTGGAGAGGAAGGGATGGCAAGAAAGCAAGCTGTTTGCTGTTCTACACATCAAAAGCAATATGATCATGCCAGCAGCAGGAAAGAAACAGGCAAAGGAGAGATTGCCTACAGAAATTGCTTGCTCCCCCCCCCCCCCGCCGCAGAGCAGAGAGATTAGAGAGGAAGAGATTTCAAGAGAGTACTGTAAGCTGTTTGCGCAGTGTGCCTGCAGCTCTGATCACATTCCCTTTGATGAGTAGAAGAGCAAACAGCTTGCTCTCTCAAAATCCCTCTCCAATCCCTCTGCTCTGCGAGGAGGGGGAAGGGCCAGGCAAAGGAGAGAGCCTACAGGAATTACTTGCTTTTTTTCTCCCCACCCCTCCCATCAGCAGAGCAGAGAGATTGGAGAGGAAGAGATGTCAAGAGAGTACTGTAAGCTGTAGCATAGTGTACCAATGGCTCCTAGCCCCGGGCTCTGGCATGATTGCATTGTTTTCAGTGTGTATAAGATAGTAAGCAGGCACTCATTCCAAAGGAAGAAAAGTGGTTAGGAGGCAAACAAAAGCCAAAGGTGTGAAACTGACTAGTTTTATCTCCTTCCAGCCGGAAAGCACAGTCACAGCCACCTGAATTTCTACTTTGTGACAACTTTGCTTAATGGCGGAGTTGCTGGTCCCAATTATGGTGGTTAAGTGAGGACTACCTATAGTATTTACAATATACTTTGTTCTTTAGCTGAATATCTGAAAAAAGCAGTCCTAAAAGGATAGGTCATTCACTTCTGTTTTATAAGTAAAAAAATGTAAGCTGAAAGACAGCATAATGCTTGGGGTCAAATCTTACAGCTTTTCTATTCATTGGATTATAGTGGCTATCAGCTGTAGTTTTTGAGTAAATTAAAAACTGAAATGTAAACTAACACATAGTTTTGAATGAGAGATATGAGCCTTATTCATATGGTCCCTGTCATGAGGATATCATAGTATATTGCTGTTCTGTGCTGTTATCCTGTTCAATGAGTTTGAGTTCCATGCCATCTAGTGGCTTCTTAAGAGATTTGAATATCATCTACTTCAGAGCCACTATATTCTGTAATGCTTCCATCGAGTGTGTGTGTGTGCGCATGTGTGCGCGCACACATGCATGAACTTGTGTGCACATATACACCTCCACAGACGCAAATTTTTCTTCTTTCCTCTGAGAATGATTCTTGGCTACTAATGCTGTATTTATTTGAAATAAAAAAGTGTGTTGTCCTTTGGTTAATGATTAGTGCTATTCTGGTGTATTTGGCTTTAAATGTTGCCACCTTATTTTTATAGGGTTTCCCTGGCCTCAGAGGAGAAAAAGGAGAAAAAAGTGAAAGAGGAGAAAAGGTTGCTATCACTTTTAATTCACTGGATAAAGTTCTTGTCTTCTTTTCAGCTCTTCAAAAACAATATCTCCCCTGTAATCTAAATGGGATTAGGCATAGACAGATACTTTATCACACTGTATTCTTACAAGGCTGGAATCTATTGGCACAGTATTTTGTACAAATATTATCCTTCACCTTAATGAGGAAGAAAGACTCAACGTATTTAATTGAAGCAATTCACATAATTACAAATCATATGTGGCTGCTCTTTTTGTACTGGAAAAGTTTATATTTTTAAAAAATGCATATTTGAGTGCTTTCTTATCTTATTCCCACACCTACATAAAACACCTCTGCTCTAGGAAATTGTCTTGTCAAGAACATATAAAGTTAAATCCGCTTCCTTGATATGCTAGTTTTCCACATATTTGTATAGGGAAACACTTAAGTATGAATATAATTCATATTATAACTCGTAATTGTGTTAAATCCACGTGTTTATATTTCTACATTGTAAACTCTTCATTACAAGTTACAGATCTAATTTAGGCTTGGCAGTGCAGCATCTAAGCTACCTATGGTCCCGCATTTAAATAAAACATTTTTAAAATAGTCGCAATATCCTAGGATGGCCAGCTCTTCTCTGAAATTACAGGCAAGAATATGTGTATGCTGATTTTGTGAGACTTTGGCCATTCTTTGTTTGCTTATTGGCCGCCTGAAAAAGCTGCCAACCTTGATTTAACCCTTCTTTATTTGGTACCTAACAGTGTCACATGTAAGCAAGTCCTCTATAGTAAGGGAAAACATCTTAATTTTTATTGAGCCAATTTCTTGGATCACCGCCTCATATCCATTGCTTACACCAGTCAGATAATTGCTTATAGGGAGGTTCCAAAACTGTGTCAGTCATTTGATGCAAATGGACAGAATATTCTATTATGCAAAGTCTAAGAAGAACTGGATGCTAGCTGAAGGTTGGGATGTTTGTCATTCAATTATTTAAATATGTATATATTTATTTATTTATTTATTAACAGGGAGAAAGAGGACTGCCGGGCAGAAAAGGAGCAAAGGGACAAAAAGGAGAACCAGGTCCCCCTGGATTAGATCAGCCTTGCCCAGTGGTATGATTTGATATTGTTGGGAATATTTTTGGTGTGTTTGACAACTGTCGTATAAGAAGCAATCTATTTTAAAACATTCTGGAGAGAGGCTGTTTGGAACAAAGTGCCTAAGTGACTGCTAATATTTCCGATTATTGGCCTTTTTATGCCACCGGACTGGAATGTGCTTTTGCTCTCTAATATTGAATGGATGGCTAAAAACATCTCACAAGCTATCCTAAAAGCCACACTCCTCACCTGTTATTTTATGACAACACCATCTAATGCTTTGCTTCATTACAAAAACAGAAAAGCCTTTATTATTCCCCCTGTCACTTTTCAGTTTTATCCCGAATATCCTGAAGTCTCTATAGCAAAAGTGGGCAGCCAGTAAGCCATGGGCAGCCTCAGAGCCCCTCATTTATGGCTCATAATTTTGGTCACATCACCAACATTCTGTTTTCAATGACACCATTTTTTTGTGGTTTCCCTCCCCCTGCCCCCCAATAAGGGTGGCAGTAGGAGCAGGAAGCTTCTGTAGGTCTCTGAGAGGAAATGGAAGAGTTTGCCTTCCTTATGCTCCTGTTCCCTCCCTTTAAAAATAAAAAAAGGGTTAGGGTTGAAAGAAACTGGCCACCTCCGACTGGTCACATCACTGCATCACCAGAAGGCCTCTAGTTGGGAGGCTGACTCTCACAGGTTGCCCACTCCAGCTGTAAGGTTTCAGTCAGCCTCTGATTTTTTTTCTTTACTTCTGTTCCTTCTTTCTTTCCTATTAACCTTTTCTCCATTTTCAATTAACAGTTCATTTTTAAAGGGGAGCCAGGTTTACCAGAACTGGATGGTGTGGAAATGCTCTGTCCTTTGGTACAGTATCTCTCTCTTCCTTCGTCCTCTTGCATGACTTTTTCTGCTTGACATTTTCCCATTTTCTCCCTTTCTCCCACCCTGGAAAATACCTTTCTGTTTCACACTAGGTGGCTACACAATGCCTACAAAAAACAGAATATATATTTTAATACGAAGTTCTGTTTGGAAAGAATACATATTTTGAAGTATCTGGTACCATTGAAAGACACAGCATTAAAGAGATAAAATGTAGGTCCTCAAGCAACATTTTCCCCAAAGCGTGCCATTGGAAGCAGCTTGGCACACGCCCCTTCGCATTCCAAACAGAGGCTAGGCATAGGGAAGGGCTCAGCTTAACTCTCTGGTTTCTCCGTTTAAGAAAGGCATCAAGAAGCAGATGCTGGGAAAGGCAAAACCTGAGTCACAGAATTTAGAAGAGTATGCCAGATTAGGATAGTCTAACACAGGTTAATTATGTTCCCAAGATCTAGCCATATAATCTTTGCTCCACATCTCTCTCAAGTCTTTCATTTGCGACTTCTGCAGCTCTATCTTACAGTCTTCCAAGGTTGGACCAGCATTTCACTAGTTTGAGTGTAGAAAATAAAAGTCTATGATACAGCCAGCCATAATGGCAACAGAGTTGTGTATGTATGTATGTGTATGTGCTTGTGTGTGTGTGTGCATACGACACATTTTGAAACCTGCTAGACTATAAGAACTTCTGAGCTAGTTGACTTGTGATTTCACAAAGGATGTGGTCAAAGGCAAACATTTAATTTACAGATTATATATGGCTACAGAGATACAAATATATTGATCTGTGTTTTAGCAATACTATTCAATCAAACGCTCATAATGTACGGCTATTTTTCCCTTTGTGTTAATTAATTTTAAGGATTCCTTGGTTTCTGTTCTACCCACTTTTCTCTCCTTCTCTTTGTTTTGGCCCTTTGTTTCATTAGACTGATTACTGTGATCCACAGAAGTATAGCTGTCACAACATCTTAATAATCAATGATTATTGAAATGATTCAAAGCACCAGGACATTCCTTTTTACACCTAGAATCTGGGCCATTTCAAATCATCCTTTTACTTTCTAACAAGCTGTTTGCTTCGTAAGATACTTTTCAGGCTTGTTTGATCTCACTATTTTCTGTTTGAACAGTATTTATCCTAGTTCATTGGATTATTAAAGTTTGTATTTGTTGAACTACATAAAACAGCTAATGCTAAACACTGATACTCAGGACAAACTATGAGAATCTTATCAAAATCCTGGACTGGGAGGATATTCCAACTCACTTCTTCCTAATTAAGTCTGCTCTGTCAGCCCTATCTTCTGGCCTCCTCCATTTGTAAATCTCATGGTTGACCTTAGTTGTTCTATTTGCCTTGCCTTTTTTAAAAATCAGGTCTGCTCTGATTCCTCAGTCAGATCAGAGATACTTCAATCTTTGTGGTTGCTATTAATTTACTGTACCTGGTCAGATGTTTAGGAGAAATTGGAAACTCTCAAATCTGATGTCATGTTCCATGAATAGTATTATTTGGTGTATTTTATTCCAACCTTTTTTTATCTGGATGCCACAAGCTTATGATGCACAACTTGTTTGTGCAAATTGGTTGAGGGGCTTTCAAGCATGTTGTTTGAAACACATAGCAGCTCTGAATGTTTACATATCTAATGTCACAATGGAACTAAGATTTCACATATCAAGTGTAATCATGTGTCCTGTAACTTTTATTTCAACAATCAATATTCATGTATTCACCAATCCCATATATATAACCTGATTCTGCCATCTTAAAATTTGGGGGGCTTGCAAAGGCCAAGAAAGAAAACAACATGCCGGCCAAGGAATGTGTCTGTCCCCCAACTGATAATATAAACTGAAAGCGTGGACATGGTGCATAATAAAGAACAAAAAATACCTAAGAAGATGCTCATATTTCCTAGTCATTGTTCCTGGATTTCCCATTTTGAGAATGATATAGCCTTTATAACAGTTTCTCAACCTTGGCGACTTTCAGGTGTGTGGACTTCAACTTCCAGAATTCCCCCAGCCAGCCATGCTGGCTGGGGAATTCTGAGAGTTGAAGTCCACACACCTGAAAGTTGCCAAGGTTGAGAAACACTGCTTTATAAGCTTCTGTCATGAGCTGCTGTGGAGTTGAACTCAATAGTCCTACAGGCTACACAGGTGGATTTAATTTAGCTTGGTATGTATGCACTGCTATAGCTTTTCCTGCCCAAAACATTCATGCGATTCCATAAATCAAAACATCTTAAAAAGATAAATGTATACTAGAATCTAGAGATGTTATTGTTTTAATGGTAATTATTAATTAATGGAGTATTGTTTGTTCCAATATACTTTTTCTTTGAACCAGCACATGGTTTCTGCACGGGTCTCCCCATTAGCTGCTCTTCATCGTAGCTGGGGTAGACTTTGCAGAGTCATTGTGAATGAAGTGGCATTTGTTTCTTAAGCGTTTCCCAATAATACAAAATGTCTCTATTTTGTTACAGGGTCCAGATGGATTACCGGTACCAGGATGTTGGCACAAGGTATTGTAAATGTATTTTAGATTTTTTGTCGTCCTGAATTTGGATTGTTGTTAAGCAAGAGCAATAACATGGTGTATTCAGTTGTGAATGTGTTTGCTAAACAAACTGAAGTAAATCTTGATATTTGCGCTTTCATAGCCCTGCTAGACTGCTCTGAAACAGTCTAAGATGCCCCAATCGTATTACCCTCCCATGTGTAGAGTGGAGAGGCTCTTCGTATGCTTAAGGATCCTGATTTCCAGAAACTGGTAACAATGAGAGCTTCAGTGGACGGAAGATACTGTCCACTGCAGGCATTTACTTTCTACATTGGGACGGTAAGGCTAATACATTCAAGCCCATTCAGCCGTGAATACAAGTTGATTTTCTCCAGTTTTCTTAACAGCTGAACAGGACTTATAGCTGTGTATGAATACCAATATCAAAGGAGGACTGAGCTAGAGACAAAAGAATACACCTTCCTATGAATGTCAAATTCATGTTTCAAATTATAATTAACAATTCTATGGAATGTATATCATACATACCTGGATTCTTTCTGGCATAAAAATCTGGCTTTACTTCAGTTTCAACATGATTTTGCATCTTGCTTTTCAGTTGCTTGTACATTTATTTTTAACATGCTTTTAACCATTTGTTTTGAGCCAAATTAGTAGCAAGCCCATGAACTTTGCTCATGGGAGTGGAAGGAGGATTTTTGGCAGAGAAGCAACGTTCCTCCTTAACATAAAACCTCTTTTTTCCAGTCATGTTTTGTTAGCCACATTTTGATTCTAGAATGTAATGAATGATTTCTTTTCTTAAACCACTGAATCAGACATCACTTTTAACTTGTCACACACTTTGAGCTTCATGAGGTAATAAGCCTGAGTAAAAGAGGCCTTCTAACTGCCATAAGGTTGAAAGAGATAATTGTTCACTGCTGAGATAACAAGATTAATTTTGCTGCTTTGCAGGAGTTAGTACCCAGCAGCAAAACACGGATAGTGGGATTACATCAAGGACATTTCGTTTGTGTCCCTGCTGTTTCCTCCAACTCCTATCAAACAAATGTAAATGACATGTTCCTGTTTCTAAAAAATAGTTTCCCGTTTGTCTTTGAAAGAGAAAAAGGAAATCTGCTTTTCTCTTAATTCTTCATACGTCTGCTGTGAACACTGAGAGTATAGATTCTTTATGTTTTAAGGTTTGTCCACATGTCCCCTAAGTGTACTTCAGAGATGCCTCATTTACTGCTCCTGAAGGACATGTTTTCATGACTCAGCTCACAGCTGAGGCCACCTTGCTTCACATTTGTCAGATCTGAGGTTAAGGTGGTGTTTTTCATCTTCTCCCAACACAAACTTTGCTAACTGCACCCTTTGCCGCGCTTAGGCGTGGATAATGGTGATAATGAAGCAGGGCCTGAGAAGACAAACTGACTGCCTGGATGTCCCCATAGTTTCACACGTATAAAGGGCAGTAGATGAAAAGACCTGTTCTTTGCTAGTAAAGCACAGCACTCTGTCCCATGAGCTACATTAAGAACAATCTAGCAAATTTGCTCTAAGAAAAGAGGACCTTCTCAAAGAACAGACACTATGAACAGTATAGTTGATCAGTTCACACACTGCTAAAAATCAATCATGGATCCTTTCAGGTGAACAGCTACTAGTACTAGGAGCCAAAAGACAATGTGCCACCTATTCCATCATTCTCTTCTTTACAAATTTGGGTTGTGGCCAGACAGACAGCTAGATACTTTATTAGTGCAACTGACCAGCTTGAAAACAAAGTGTGAGAGAACAAGTTAAAACTACAGTAAAATCCAATAATTACAAAACTGGTTTGGTCAAGGTATGGTATATTTTACAAATGGTAAAAGAGAACTTAGCCATGCTAGGAGAAATACTTTACTTCCTGTCATTGGTTAGTTAATATATAACATGGAGCAAGTTTTGAAGGAGAAGCTCTGCTTTCTTCTTTTCTGTTAAGCATGATCTTTATTAGGTCAAATAAACATTTCTTGCAGAAATATTAAAAGAAACTGCATTTTAATGAAGCAGTCTGTGAGAGAAAGATGCATGCATGCCTGTGTTTTAAAATATGCATTGTTTTTTGTTTTGCAGTGATCCTACAAGCATGGACTGTGTAAATAATAGTGGGATAAATGTTTATTTTTTTTTAATTTTTTTATACAAAAAGAGGAAAAAGCCACAAAAACAATGTTTTCAACAGTAATATATTGATCTTTTAATACTGGATATTGTCATATATGGATTTTTTAAAAATATAAACATTCCTGAGGTCCACAAGACAGACTACAGACTGGCGCGCGCGCGCGTGCACACACACACACACACAGAAGCACTCTACTTCTGAAACAGTCAGGAATGGATGTCACTTGCTGCTAATGCTAATGTGTGGATTAACTTACTGAAAAAAATTGCTTTATTGCATGGAGAAGGAACATCCCTGGACAACCTTTTTAGCTTTAAACTTTCTAACTCTGTTGCACATAGACACAGGCACAAAAGGGAGAGAAAGCAAAAAAGAAAAAAAAGATGCAGCCCTAGAAATTGAACAAACTCTACCTTCTGGACGAACATAGGAAGAATTTCCAATCCGGCAAGGTAACACAGCTATAACCACACTTGTTGCTACTTGCTTCAATCCTGAAGAAACTAGTTCCAGCCTGGGTCACTGTGATCTGTTTCACCATCTGTGGCTGCTCCTCCTCCAGAAGAAAGCATCATCTCTGGGAAAATCTCTACTTCACATCTTCAGTCTGTGACTAAAGTTTGAAAGATTCTTTTGTGGAATTTTATTTCACTGCAGAATTCAAAAACACGGAACACCTCAACTGCCAAATCCTTTTTTTTTTTTTTTTACAAAAACAAAATGAAGGAAACTCTATAGTATTCATCGCAATGTACAGATTTGAAACATAAGTCTTGCTTTAAAACAAAAGTCCCATCGTGTAATCCATGGCTGCTTATTTTGCAAACTTGGAAAAGATATCTATTATGCTGCTTATTCTCCTGGATTCACAAAACATGCTTAATAAATACAGAAAAGATGATTCCCACCACCCCACCAGTGAGTGTTTCATCACACCCCTTTAATATGAAGTTTTGTGTTATAATGGATAGGGGTAAACAACCTATTGTCAAAGATTTGTAATTAACATGGTTATAGAAACAGCTCTTTTCAGAGGTAAAAAGCAGGGAGAGCTCCACTTTTTATGCAAATTATATTTGTCACAGGTACTTTTCTTGCATTAAAAAAGTTTGCCCAAAAAGCCAAATGTCGCTATATACAATACAGTATTACTTCAGTCCTAAAGGACTACATCTATGAAAGTATACAGCCACAAGTGGCTTATGACATTGTCCAATATGTGACCCATTCTATCTATTGTAGTTATAATTCAGTTACTAATTCCAAAAACTTCACCATGCTCACCAATGGTCTGGAGATTCTGTTTATAACAAGGAATTATTTCTAGTTTCCAGCGGTCTGTACTAACATAGTTGGAATGAACTAGTGCTCTTGCTTAGGAAAATGTCTACATCAGTGTGTCTCAACCTTGGCAACTTGAAGATGTGTGGACTTTAACTCCCTAGCTAGGGAATTAGGGAGTTAAAGCCCACACATCTTCAAGTTGCCAAGGTTGAGAAACGCTGATCTACATGCTCATTGTTCCCTCTAACAGACATAGCATTGGCTATCACTATTGTTTGACCCAGCAGCAGGAGCAGCCTGCAAGACTGCCAGCTTACTCGCAAAAAGGGAGCAGGGATTTTTGTGATTTGACCTTTCTTTCTGTATCCCTAAGACCTAGAGGGCACCTTAAGCCTTTGGGGCGGACTCTGGCCCACCCAGAGCTGCAATAGGAGGACAGAAATAACCTCTACCTTTCCACTAGAATTATTCACTAAACCAGCATTCCAAATAAAATATTGAATAGTCATTATCAGTAGTCTTGCACAGACAGTAGAAGTTCTCCCATCCATGAGAATCTTCTGAGGGATTCAATCAAGTAACATATCCTGCCATATTTTTGAACTTCAAGTTTTGGTTATTCAATCTTTTATTCAAAGTTTAAAGTGCTGAAGAGACAACCATCTTAAAAGTTGCTCACTTTCCAAGGCCACATTAACACATAATTTTGTAAGATCCAGAATGAGTGCAGAAAGATTTTAGGAATAATTTCTTAGTATTTGCCTAGAAAGATAAATGAATAGGGATTATTCCCTTTTAACCAAGGTCTGATGGCAATTCATTTATTGCTAATCAGAATATTGTTTGAAATCCTCAGGCACCAGCAACAATTAGTTGATTACATGAAGGCTACAATGAGTGTTCATATGTTATAAGAACCAAGAGGCATGATAATATATGGTTTTAACAATACTTAGAAAGTTTAAATTTCCCTTCTCATTTTATATTAGTACTAACTGGTTTTATCCTAATTCCCAGTTTTAGCCTTCATTCCCAAAAATGGATTTAAGGATATTCTAAAATGCTGGTTTGCATTACTGATCAGAATTTATTTCAGGAAGGATGGCATAATGGCTCTCCACTTGTGTAGACAGAGGACCACTATTCTGTGAATCTTTGGCAGTAGTATCTGTTCTTTCTGTTGTAAATGTTTCTGAAATACTCTAGATAAGCTTCAATCAATACTTTAAAATACTGTACAATTCTTCATGGTAGAAGATGCATCAAATTCATAAAATTAGAGATAATAAAGTTAACATTGCTTCACTATGTTAACTCATTTGGTTATCTAAGTTAGCTTTACTTTATGACTTTTTGAAGCCTATATGACATTATTTACTTTTATAATAGTATTAAACTGTTGTTTAATTAAATGAAGATATAACTGAGTTAAGAAAGGGAAGTTAAATACTATGACTTCCTTGAAAATCAAATAATTCTTTAAATAGTTCTGTGACAGGTGACAAAAACTGGTGACAAATCCCATTAACCCATGGAGAGCAAAATCATTCTTGTCTTTCTCTTCCACTCTTACCTTGTAGCAAAAGAGATTTCATTCTGATCTGTAATACTTATTTTAATACTGTATATCTGTTGCTCTTCTTGACAGAAAGAAAGAGTAGAGCACATAGTAGTCTAGGGCAAGTACACAGAGGGTATGGGGGAATGAACTTCAGGCCCGTGTTTCCTGCATGGAAACAGGAAATTCTCAAGATGGGAATATCATTCATAACTGTAATTTACCCAACTTTTATGAGAGCTGTCAAAAAGGTATCTCCTTAAAAACTCCATGCCTCTTTGATATCCCCCTGTTAAATCCTCCCTTTCTACACCGATGTAGGGATTTGGCACAAATGTATTTATATTAAATAATTTTCATCTTAAAGTAGCAGTGGTTGAGAGGTCCTGCAGGCTTATTCCAGCTAAGAAATCGAACTAGGGTGAGGGGGAAGAAATGTCTTCTGGCAATTACTGAGTAATTTCTGACATTTGGAAATAGAAGCCCAATGTGCTCAACCACCTCTCACATGTCCTTGGACTACACTCCCTACTTAATGCTACTATTAGAAAGTTCTGCCACATTCCAGAAAGAACTTTGCCAGATGGATCTCCCTCAGCATTTACAGAGTGGAAATCCACTGTGTCCTATGGCTTCTGGAATATCCTCCCACAGATTATTGGCTTGCACCACTACACAGAAACTGTGGCAATATATTAATTATTTAACAATTAATATATATCACAGTATTGGTTATGAAATTTTGCCCTGAGCGGGAGATTCATAGAAGAGTATATGCAGACATTTTTCTCCTGGATGACTCTGAAATTAGTCAATGAAATTTCATTGTAGCTAGTGAGATTCTTTGCATATTCCTTTCAAAATATTTGTCAGTGTCATATTTTGTGGTATGGATAATTGCAGCGAAAATATTTTTATAATATTGAATATCAGCAGGCGTTTTTCTCCTAGAAGACTCTCAAATTAGTTTAATCAATTTCATTTCAGCTAATGAGATTGCTTTATTTTTTGCTTTAGCTTTTAATACATTTTTAAGAAAGTTGCACCAGAATAAAGATACAAAGAAACAAAGAAAAAGAGCTACTAATAAAGCACAAGTAAAAACATTATCAAAAAAATATAAGATTCTTTGCATATTCTTTTAAAAATATCAGCATGTGTGTCTATGGGGGGAGGGGTCAAAAAGATCAAGATGGTGGCCACAAAAAAAGGAGGGGTGCATAAAAAGGGAAGGATTTCGATCGCATGACTGTGGCCACCATCTTGACTTTTTTCAGCTCCTCCCTGAGTACACCCTCATTTAGCAGTATTATACTTTGTGGTATGGATAATTGTGGAAAAGAAATGATCGTTAAAGTGTTGAAAATAATAAAATGTTGAATAGAAATACTGTATCCTATTTATTCTATGTAAGGACAGTTAAGTTGGCAAATCACCACCAGATGTCAGCAGAACTGAAGATGACAAGTGGCTTTATGTTGGAGAATGAGAAATGTAACACTCAGACAACATATCCATCTTTTCTGCTGCACCATTTTACAGTATTAGTTTTTGAGGATAATCTTTGAACATTTCAGCTTAACCCAACTATCCTTCCTATAATATCCACATTATATTATAGTAACCCTCTTCTAGAAAAATATTGGATTAGTCATTCTCTGGGAGGCTTCCATTTTAATGTCCTGTGAAGTTATTAATACTGTAATAGAACAATTGTACACTTACTCATTGCTACCTGCAAGTAATACAGAACATACTCAGTAACTAATGACATTTATTGAATAAATTAATTTGGAATGGTAGACAGTTATATGATAAAAACCTACCCATACATAACTGTTGATCTGACTTTATGCACAAGTGAGCTGTCAAACACATACTGTAGCGCTGAAGGAATAAAATTAAATATATATTATCTATCCATAACTACCCCAAATTAATCCCCAATAAAGTCTAATTATTGAACCAATAGAATTAGCAAAGCATAATAATCATGCTTTAGTTTCTCATACTGAAGAGTCTTGAGACTTGATAGCATTTAATTTGGGTTCTATCATGTCTATTAAGTTTCTCAATACACTGTTAAGCCATGATTAGCTTTAACCCAAAATGAGGCATTATTAAAAATCTTTAGAGCTGATTCCAAACTGGATGTAAACTCCAACTACTGATTAATAAATGTAGGCCCAGTATGGAGGGGGATGTCTTACAATCAATTTATCTATGTTTAATGTTTTGCAAACATTTTGCATTTATTCCAAAAATACATTATTGCAGCTACGAAAATAATTGTTCTGCCTTTTGTCTATTTTACAGTTCAGCTGAAATTAAATTTAAATCCTGTTTGACTCATTTGCCCTTTATATTTCTAAGGAAACCTCATACATGAAATGTTAGGTATTTGCAGCAACAGTAGCTTAACCCTCCCAAGTGTTATAATTTACTGCTGTTATAATGCCTAATCAGCACTATGCGCTGCCTAAAGCCAGAGGCTGTTGGACTCCAGCTTCTGTCTACAGCTTCCATAACTGGCTAAGGCTGATATGAATTCAGTCGTATTTGGTGAATATGTTGTCCTGGCATGCAGATGCAACTAGTCACTTGTATCACCTGCAGATCTGGTGGCTGCCTTGCAAATAAGGATGGATGGATGGACAGATGGATGAGCATTGCAGAGCATCTTGTTACTGAACTACGCTCTTCCAGATGCCATTGTCTACACCTCTATGCTGGCAGACCCAGATGTTCAGATAGTACATGTCAGAGGCCTGGATTTTGGCCTAGAGACTGCCAGGTGCTAACCCAAATTTGAGAACGTGTTAATCAGCTACCTTGGCTACATCTAACTCATTGCCAGCAATGCATGCAAGGGGAGTTCCCTTTGTTCTTCTCCGCCACACATTCTCCAAATATAACCTGGAATGTCCCTTTCCCCCACTCCCCAAACCTCTCAAGCAGATTTGAGGAATGCAGGAAGATAAATTCCTTCATGGCAGTTAGATACAATATCTAAACTGTGTCAGGGTAAAATGTGTTAATTCAGGCTTTCTTCATTTCAACTTAAAACTGAATAGGCATAATATAAATGCACAGAAGATACAGGGTGATCTAATTTTTTGACCATATAAATTTTGTTTCCATGCAAATAATCTCAGACATTAAATAAGTTAGAAACAGATACAAGGCAAACATAATTGCGGAATGTAATTCATGTTTATATTGAAAAGCCTCTTCTGAGCTTCAATAAAATATATAGCTTTGTTTCAACACAAAGTTAGAGGGGAATACTTCATACAACAGTCATATTTCACTGTTACTGATTTTATTGTAAAATTTCTAATGCGTACATGCCAAAACAAGTGTTATATCTAGCTGTAATATAGGGGAACAACTATTTTTTAAATGAAGGCATTAATACAGTATTACACATTAATGAATAAAATACAGAAATGTACTGCTTGTTTTGTAAATTTTACAACAGTCACTGCACTATCTGGCAGTGTACCCACTGTTTCGTGTTTTAATCTGTAGTAAGAGTTGATATTTGAACAGTTCTAAAATAAACTGCTCCTTGTACAGATTGTTTTCTGTGATTATTCTCTACTGCAGCATTTGTAACTACAATTATATACCCAGCAAACATTTAAAGTAAAAATAAGTTACTTATTTATATGTCACATTTATAGTTGCCCATCTCACACAAAGCGACTCTGTGAGATTATTATATTATTAATATGAGTTATATTAATTTTTCTAATCCAAGATGGCTATTATATTAACCAGGCCTATATTTCTGAGAGTTACTTGGAATCTGTTTCATTTACAAACATTAGATATATTCAATCATCCCATATAGTAATAGTAAATCAGGTTGTTCAGCCAAACAGCACCAACCTTTCTCCAAGGAGAACAATAAGGGCAGGCTTGGGATAACTTTGAGGTTTACAGAGTACCAAAAAAATCTTCGGAAAAGGGGGGAGCAATCTCAGCCACGTATTATCCAATGATATACAGGCTGCTACAGGAGAGGGGGAATTAAGAAAGATGGGGCATACATAAAGCAGGGACAGCAGACTCATTCCCTATAGACGCTTCCTCTTGGCAGCCGCCACATTCTCTGCCTCACCAATTTGTTCAACTTAAAATCCAACAGAAATGTAGAGGCTGCAAAACTTCAAAGCAAAGTTCTAAGTTTTATATCACACCTTATTTTTAAGAACACCTTTGAGCCTCATAGAAGCCCTATAGCATTCTTAGAAAATACAAAGCACCATAGCCCAGAGCTTTGTCTGGAACTGTTTACATAAGAAAAAAAAGGTTGAATTGGGACAAACAACAGCATCACGGAGGAAAGCGAGTTTTAAATTACTCCAGAAAAGAAACTGTTATACACAGAAAACAGATAACCCAAGATTTTAACATAGCTGGGATTTTCACTGTATCCAATAGTCTACCTCCGCCCAAACAAGAATTAATGATTTTTAAATAAAATTTTTACACAGTATGAAAGACCTCTGTTCTGCAAATTCAAACCAAAACCATAATATGCTGCCCCCATTTTTCACAGAGCAGTCTATGGGTGGGATAGTGCTGCTTCTAATAGCCCTGCATATATACACTGGCATTGTTCACACAACATGCTAAGCTACAGTTTGCTTAACAATGGTTTATTTGCTATTCATGAAATGTATATTGCACCTTTTTAACCAGGTGCTCAAGGTGATCACATTTCAAAAGTCATCCAGAAGTGCTCTGGACCACATGAAAAACAACCCTCTCCTACTCAGTGAAACAGCAATGACTTTCTTCAGAGTTCTGCACAAGCCTGGAAGAAAAATGCAGGTGGTTTAAGAGTTGCATTAAAGACACAGGGCTGTATTGATCTGATTCATTAAAGTAGAAGCATGTTTTTTCAAGCTTGCACAGATACTTAAAAAGAAACCTGTGCTTTAGTGAATAACAGAGGTACTATGCTTTTACCAGTCCCAAAGCACTTCTTGACCAGTTTTAAAGTATGCATAATTCTTGGACATACCAATATTTTCTCCTCTTGGTTTTTCTCACAATAATCTTGAGAGGTAGATAGAGAGACTTTGATTGATTCAAAGTTATTTAGTGATCTTTTATTGCTGAAGATGGATTTGAACCTTAATCTCCACAATCCTATAACAGCATCTCAATCATTGCACAACACTGGCTCTCCTATGTTGAATAAACAGCAATTGGCTAGGATTGTACAACATACTAAACCTTAAACTATGTTTTATGTCAAGGGTGGGCATGGCACAGCATCCTAAAATAATTCTGCAAAAATCTGGGGGGAAATGGCCAATTTGGGGCAATGTAATTTCTTTTTGGTTCTTTCAGAAATGAGACTGGGAATGGGAACAGGATGATTTTGTCAAGCAAAATCATTTCGAAAACTTTTTAAAATCATTTCAAAAACTTTCATTTCTACCCTTGGAAGCCCTGCTCAGAAACCTCTCCCAAAGTTCCAGAACCATGCCACCAAAACTTAGCTATTTTACCAACAAATGTCAACACCACAATTTTGGGCCAGTTGGTGAGATGCATTTTAAGGTTCAGAAAAGGAGCAGTTTTAAATGCTGTCCCCTACTTTAATTTGTACATGAAAGAAGACCCCCAAATAAGGGATGTTTGGTTTTCATGCTAAGATATTTTCCAATTCTCTCACTCACTGGCTCAAAAAATGCCTGCGAACGTTGTGCTTTGGTCCTGGTCTTGACTTATATTTTGCTAATTCTAAATTGACTTTGTCAACGTTGTACAGTACGAAGAAAACGTATCAATACATTCCCAAGCTTTGCCAGCAACAAAGTTGGCGAATATGGTAACAAGACAAGCGAATGTTAAATAAGGCCGTGTATACCAGGATAAACTGCAGTATTACCAAGAAGTCAATTTTTGATACAAAATCTTTGCCATTTCCGTGAATCCCCTGGAGCTGTGGTGGAAGAGAGATAAAACATTGCTCTCTGTCAATTAGTCTTCTGAAAAGTGAATAAGGCATTACTTCCCTTGTCTTGAGATACAGAGTTTTTTATGCGTGTCTGTCAAGCAGTCTCGTTGACACCTCCCAGAGAGAATAAATCACTAACATCCACGGTCCTGGGTTGTTGCCGAGTACCAAATATGGGGGAGAAATTCCTATTTAAAAATCATCTTCGGGACACAAACCATAATGAGCCACGGGATGCCCTTTTGCCTATCCCGTATATAACTCACACCCACTTCTCGTACTTCTCGCAGAAAAGTTGGAAGGGTTTACAGACAGCTCCCAGATACGTTGTGCTTCAATCCCTTCCTACTTTTTTTTTTTTTTTTTTAATCTTCGTCAGCTTTTTGCCAGGCTGGAGCATTTCGGCAACTGCCATTTTGCACAGCCAACCCGCCACAGAGACAGGCAGTGCAACTTTGTGCAGATCTACTCAAAAGTAAGTCCTCTCGTTCTATGAGATTTATTTCCAGTAAATGCACTGAGAAGTGCAGCTTGAGTTAATGAAAAAGAACGAAATTACCTGTTCGCAAAGTGCCTGCTAGCTGGCACGAGGCAGATCATTCTCAATTAAGTTCCAGTACCTGCATTATAAAGAATATTACTCCACTCCTCTTACAGCAGCCTTCCCCGGATTGGTGCTTTCTAAATGCATGGTCATACAATATATGTAAAACTTCCACTGGTCATGAGGTCTGAGTATTATGGGATCTGCAGTCCAAGTCATCGGTTAGGGAATATATAGGATGGTTGCAAGGATTACAACGTAATCACGTCAGACATTTGCCAGTGCTGTGCAAGCGTGTTTTTCTTTCGTTTTCCGCTTTACTGGTGGGAAGAGTAGCAGTTCTGCTTCAACAAAGGGTACTTTTTTGCCCCTTGCAAAGATACGGTGCCTCTAAAGCAGTCCTTTAACAGACGAAGCGCTTCTAACAAGGGAAAACTCTCGCCCGCTCAATTGCTCTTTATCGAGAGGGCCCTTAAAGGCACGGAAACCTCGACCCGCAATAGAGTTGGCAACCCGAGTCGCACCGCCAACCCTCCTCCCCCTCGCCTCCTGTCGTAACGTACTCTAAATATATACGACCGAAGTGCCGTGAAGCAGAGGCCCGGGGGCTCAGCGCTTCGCTCGCTATCGGTCCGGAAGCCGTATAAATGTAGACTCAGCGCCTCTTAAAGAAAAAAAAAAAGATGGAAAGGAGAAAAGCACGTTTTTAAGGGTAGTTATCTTCGGGCACTCAAATCCTACCCAAATTTAGCAGCAGGGAAACGCGCGCTTCTCGGTCTTCTTTCACTTCGGAGAAGGACGAAGCAACTTCAGCGGATTCACTTTGACTTAAGCTTTAAGAAAATGTTATTGTGGTTCCAAACTCAGCCTAGATAGATCGGTCACTCGCAAATGGAGTCCCCCACTGCAGTCTCAGCCCTCCAGGCCGAATGCGGATCGGCGGAGAGAATGCAGGGCTTTGGCACCGCTTAAGGCGACTTTTAAGCTATTTACTTATCTGTTTTCCTCACTACAGCAGCAAAAGGCACGAGAGCGGTTTTCGCTGTGGACTCTTGTGCTAACCTTTTCTATCTCTACGGTTCCTCTCCCAGACTCCGGAGCAGCCATGAGCGCCGAGCCTCGCAACCGGCAGCAGACTCTAGCTTTACGGAAGCAGTTGATTGGGTAGGTGCTGCGACTCATGGAAGGAGAAGGAAGGAGGCTGCTGCTCGGGGACGCTGCCCTGCCTTGAAAAGACAATTCTCCTTCGTAGGGCACGACACACCCACCCACCGCGCAGTAAACGGGAAGCCGCTGCGCTCCTTGCGTTTGGCGCGACGCCTTCCTCTTCGTGCGCGCCGTGCCTTGCAGCTCGTTCCGCAGTGCAGCTCTAAAAGGTGGCAGCTGCGTAGATCCGCAGTAGGCTCCTATCGAGAACATCGGAACTTTCACGTGTAGGATCAATCCGATTGCCCCGCATTGTCGAGCAGATACCCGTTTCAGTTTATAATTGCGCACTTATCGATTGTGTATTTATTTAATTTGAAAATCCAGTGGTTGGTAAGTTTAGATACATGAAGGTGAACACCCATTCTCATCCAGTAAACTTTATAATTAAAGACGTTTTGATAACACCTTTCAAGACAAAGTCCTTGCGTGTAGTTTACTGCTACCGCCTGTTTCCTGTTTCAGTTCAAGGTAAATCTCTTAAGTCGTCTTGCTCTTGGTGTCTCCAACAAGTAAGGCATAATGGCTATAATTTGGAAGCTGGGCTATTTGTGCCAGGATCCTCCTCCATGCATACAAAGAGCCAATCTGCAGTGCGGGTTCTGCTGGAGAGTTGCACAACTCCTCTCATTACTACAGTGGCACAGCTATACATGGTCATGGGAGCTTTAAAAGCATTACTATAGACAACAGGGAATCCCACTTCTACCCATCTTGTACCCATTAAGCCTCTTCACTTGATTTCCTGCGAAGCCCATTGTAAAACATTGCCTCAGGGAAACTTCCAACCTGCAATACAGCTTTAACTGGCTGCCAAAAAAAAAAAAAAAAAAGCTCCTCAGTTAACTCAAGCAGCCTTGATCAGAAATACATAAGTCTGTTAAGAGCTCTTGGTCTTTTAAGACTCAAATGTTGCTTTCAGGCTGGGCACAGCATTCCTTCAAATACCTGCTGCTGAGGAATAAATGTGAGAGAGGGCCCAAACCGACAGCTTATTTCCATACCTAGGCTACATCAATAGATGAGTCTATCAAGGCTAATAGTCCTAAACTCAGATGTTACTTCTGTATTGGCCTGCCCCAATTATCAGTTGTATGGGAAACCTGCAGGACAGGGATATGTCTCTTAATTCCTCATTGGGAACACCCCAAAGACATCTGGTTAGCCACTGTGAGAAACAAAATGCTTCATTAAGGGGGTTGTCCTGATCCAGGAGGACTGTTCTTATGTTTTAGGACACGTCTTCCCATAGTGATCGATGTCATATCTACTGCAAATATATATTACAAATGTCACCTGAGCAAGTTCTTGACCTTGCACTTCTGTTAGACTTCCACAGATCCATTATATGTATAAAGGTTTCTTCAGAAGTACAATCATGCTAGAAATTCTTACAGAAAATGACTTTTAGCTACTGTTCAAATGACTTGCAACTAGGCATAACAGACTAAACTCAGTTCAAAAACAATTTCCTTAGAATTTGATTAAAAAGGATGTATTATCATTGTAGCTAATTAAACCATTTTTGTTCCAGATTTATTACCTCCAATATGCAGTAACATTAGTGGTAGAATGTTTAATCAGTTCCAATTAAGTTCTTTATCTTTCTTTAAAGATCATCTTGCAAGCTTTTTTTCCCCGAAGACCCAGTGAAGATTATCCAGGCAAAGGGCCAATATATATATGATGAAAATGGAAACCAATACCTGGACTGTATCAATAATGTTGCTCATGGCAAGTGTGAAATTATGTTCTCTTTACTAAACTCTCTTAAGCCTAAACTGTGTGCTCAATTAAGTGTAATTCATCAGTCCCTTTTAAACTAACAAAATGTTTGTGTTTAACTGTTTCCTCTTCCATGGTTTAACTTGTCCACATCACCTAGCAGTAGTAGTAGCTTTATGTAGCCTGCATTTGCTCTCACAGACAATACCTGTGCCCATTCATTCACTGGATTCAAACCCCGCAATGTAAATAAATATGATAACAATGACTCATGCCAGAATGAAATTATTCAGAAAAATGAAGGCTATAGCTGATACTCAAAAGTTTGGGTGACCAGGACAAAATGGTAGACAGGAGGCCATTTTACTTTTCTGTGGAAGTGTACACCTAGCTAAACTATAACTGAACTGACATTGTGAAATTCTGTCTCTGATTTTCCAAGATTAGGCTGGAAATAAAACAAGAAATAAGGCATTATACACACAGTCTTAAAAACTTCATGAATGGTCACTGAAATTGTTATATTCTCACCCTTATTTTTCAGTGGGGCATTGCCACCCTGAAGTGATCAAAGCAGCCCATCAGCAGAATCTGCTGCTAAATACAAACTCTAGATATCTACATGACAATTTGGTGGATTATGCACAGAGACTATCTAAAACATTGCCGGAGAAGTTGTGCACCTTCTATTTTTTGAATTCAGGGTATGTTTTTTTAAAGAAATATATCACTAGATCATACAGGTATTTTCATGCCTTATTTGCAAAACAAATGAACTGAAATTTGTTACCTCCCCACAAAATTGTCAGGATAATCACATCTTTGCTTTCTTGGTATTTATATTACTTCAGTATTTGTTCCTTTAGTCAGAATGAGTAAGTATTTTCCACTTTTCCAAAAATTTGACATTTACATTTTCCCTTATTTTCTATAATCAAAGGGCTTTTCATCATATATTTAGTTAGTAACTGTAATGAAACAATTCACGCTGCATATAAATGACTCTAAAATTCTCTTTTAAAATGGTGTTTATTGTATCTGTATTTTTTCTTTTACTCATTCAACTAAAATTTAATAAAAATTATATACATCTAGTGCTGGTCATATTTCCATATCAGTATGTCATTTCTTACACATGAAACTACTCAGATTTATAGATGGCTGAATATGAACAATGAGAAAACCTCAGAATTTTCCATTGCAGATCAGAAGCTAATGATCTTGCTCTGAGACTGGCACGGCAGTATACAAAGCATAAAGATGTTATTGTTATTGACCAGTAAGTATATAAAATATTTTAACTAACATTCTATTACTATATCCAGTTCAGTTAGCAGCACCTAACCAACCTTGGATGAACTTGAAAAAAGCTAAATAGGATCATACCAAGTTATAACTTGGACAGGAAAATGCTGTCAGGGAATCATCAGGAAATCTTAGGGGTGTAGTTTAGGAAGTTTTTTAAAAAGTATCAGAAAAGGGTATTAATCAATCACCTCCATACTGTTCCAAGAAAACTACAAGAACATGCCTTTGTAGTTACTAGGAGTTGAGTTTGTCTGAAGAGTCTTTATTTTCTTTCAGTATTAATTGGAGTCAGAAACCCTCATTGTGTTTCTGAAGTAAATGTTAAAATACCCAATAAGAACCTACATTTCATACTAAAAAGTATTTAGGTTATCAGTATTGTTTTTTAAAGCTCATATTTTTTAACTTGGATCCTGTTATTCTTCCAAGAAGCCAAGACCAGACTATGAGGTTCCCAAGCAATTCCTGATCTAGGTACATCCATTCAGTTTCAAAGCCAAAAGTAAATGTGATCCCAAAGATCATATTCTGAATTCCAAGTTGCATTTATGTACATACATATAAGCCAACCAGACTAGAATTTTGAAATGTATATAAAGATACATTTGCTTTCTAAAGCAACAGCTGAAATACATAAAAGTGTTATAAATTAGAAAGCAGGTGCTTCAGTTTGACAGTCTGGCAAACCATACAATTTTCAAGTACTAATAGTAAACCAAGGTAGAATTGATGTACTTCTGTTGATTGTTGTGTTTTGTTTTAAGCGCTTATCATGGACATCTGACATCTTTGATTGACATAAGTCCATATAAATTCAGAAATCTAGATGGCCAAAAAGAATGGGTCCATGTGGTATGCATAAGAGACTATATTAACCCTTTTCTTGTTAATTTCCAATTCACCTAAAACCAGGTGGTATAATCAGCTATTAAACTTTCTTTGAATAGGCTCCTCTTCCTGATACATACAGAGGATTATATAGAGAAAACCATAAGGATCCAGCCACAGCATATGCCAATGAAGTGAAAAAAATAATTGACAAAGCACACCAAGAAAGCAGGAAGGTAAAAATTGTCTCAAAGTTTCTATATTTTATCATTTTGGGTTTTTTTTTTAACTGACTTGAGTTTAGTCAGTTATCCAGTGTGCCATTATGATGGACTCTCTTCTTCTGTCTTCTTAGTATCAATTAACAAAAGAGGGAAGTTTGAAAAAATGTGTGGTACTCAGCCACAGCTTCATTCATTGTAATTTCTTACACCTTGCTCCGGCCAACCATCCAAGCAAAACTGAATATTCTCACGTCCTTAAGAATCTGACTGGTGGAACATCATCTTTGAGAAGCAAAACTACATTGTTGGATATAATTCATAGTTTTTGTCAAGAAAACATTTCAAATGTATACTGTTGTTGGCTAACTGAAGTTTCTTGTGTGCTGTAGCAGTTGGTACTCAGCTACTATACTGAAGACTTCTGAATTAGAAGCCTCAGTACATCCAAATAGCAGATTCATACACATTCGTGTGCGTGCATGCTATACCTCTGCTAGTTTCATTATGTTATATATATCTTTTCAGTTTGCTGCACTTATTGTAGAATCCTTGCCCAGCGTTGCTGGACAAATCATTCCACCATCTGGTTATTTCCAAAAGGCAGCAGAGTAAGTATTCATACTTTTCTTGTATCTTTTTCCATTTATTCTAAACTGTTTTGTTAGATTTTCTGTTTGTAGTAAACCTCAAGCTTAAGGACTTTTAAGATGTTTAACCTCTGCAAGATCCAGTTTTAACTCCCAAAGATTTCAGTAATTAAAATTGAAATGATAGGGACACAAGTATTTAACTTTCCTCGGGGGATTTTGGTTTCGGTTGCTACTGCTTAATTTTGGAAAAAGTGGATTGTTGGGGATATTTTTGTTTTAACACTAAACAAATTGTTCAGAAGTACTGGTTTAGTAAGATCTGTTCCATTTCCATGAGATTTTGTTCTTTTAATAGGCATATACACAAAGCAGGAGGCGTATTTATTGCTGACGAAATTCAGGTTGGCTTCGGCAGGATTGGCAAACATTTTTGGGCATTTCAACTTCAGGGAGAGGATTTTATTCCTGATATTGTTACTATGGGAAAGCCAATAGGGAATGGACATCCTGTCGCTTGTGTAGCAACAACAAAGGAAATTGCAGAGGCATTTTCAGCAACAGGAGTAGAATACTTTAACACAGTAAGTAGTTACTCACATTTTTATTCTGAAATACATCTTAGTATCAGCTTGAGCATGTATTTAATGTACTTCACGTATAACATATTTACTGGATTGCTATTACATTAACATAAAATTCAGACTGCCATATGGTGCTTGCTTTTGACAAACAATTTTCGGTAGAAAATTTATTTCCAGTTTTTTTTTTCCTCCCTCCTATGCATAGTTTGGAGGAAATCCTGTGTCCTGTGCAATAGGCCTAGCAGTCTTGGATATTATTGAGAAAGAAGAGCTTCAAACCCATGCTCTTCATGTGGGAAGCTTCTTTATGGAACTACTCAAGCATCAAAAAGCTAAACACCCTCTAATTGGAGATATCAGGTATCAATTTTAAAACATTATCTTACTTATATAAGCAGCATATTCTCTCCATGTAGTTCTCACTTTGTTAGCTGCTTTTTTTTTTTTTTAGCAGTCCCAAATTGTAAAATCTGTTTATTGCAATTGACTGTGACTTCATGTTTTTACTTTGTTTTATAGGGGTATTGGACTATTTATTGGTGTAGATTTAGTACAAGACCAAGAGAAAAGGTCACCTGCTACCAAGGAAGCAGAATACATCACAACAAGGTATTTAAGTTTCCCTACTCCCTATTCCACATTGGTAATTACAATGTCCAAAACAAACAAGCAAAACATCTCAGAGTACACAAGAACAGGAGGAAAAAAACAATTAAAAAGTAAGAATATCTAACAATTTATTGGTAGTGACAGAGAGAGGAGTACTTCCCATTCTTCTTTTTTACTTTTACCTTCTATGTCCTGAAATAATCTGTGAGCAGTATCTCCAAATGTTTCACTTAACTGAATTACAGATAGAGAACATTCAGGAGCTTGCACACCTCTTTTCCTTGATATATGCAAAACTCTACATACTATGTACAATAAGTTACTATGATTCTCAGATTCTGCTTTTCTCCTGGAATGTGTCAATCTGGCAGTTCCAGTAGTAGTTTGTAATCTTCCAGAACAGAAAATGGTCATTAAGTTTAAGACATCATCTGACCCAAAAAGAGAGAATTGGCTTTGCTTCTAGTAATTTACAAGGTATCTCTGTAATAGACGGCCTGGTGCATTCTAGGTAACACTAGAATGTTCTGTACCTTCAAACCAGTTTTGCACAGCCCTGCTATTCCCTCCCCAGCCACCCTAGGTATATTTTCAAACATGCATACTGAATTTAGCAAAAATGGAACAGCTAGTAAGTTGGATTATATTCACTAACTCAGAAGCAAGCTCAATACTCAAGGATTCTTAAATCTCTGAATTCTTCCACTACTGTGGAAAGAGCAAATTCTCTGATAGTCCTCCAAGTATTAAGGACAGCTGTAATATACTTTCAAAGAGAATACAGAATGACCTGAGGTATGTAATAAAGGGGATGGAGAAAGGGACTATTGCGTGGTAGACTAGACTTATTTAGTATCCTTTTGGTCTCCAGACAGTGGACCTGGCATGAAAGGGTTAATTTCAGGTAAGAAAGTAGCTAAGAATATCCTTTCTATACCCCTAAGGGGACCTCTTTCCTCAGTCATAAGAATTGTGTTCAGTCATACTGGTCTCATACTTTGTGAACAACTATTTTTCAAAAATTGTGTCGAACCATTACGATCAAGCTATAAACCAAAAAACATATTAATATGCTTCCCCAACTGGAAACTCCTCCCCTTTACTGAGTATTAGTGTTGCCAAGCTACTGCTTTAGCGGCTTCGCATTTGCTCTAGAGGCCTGCACCCTATTCCTCTAGCAGCTAGGATAAGACGACATTTTTCTGATTATCTAGGATGATGAAGTAAGGAGTCTGTAACAGTAGCCTGCCAGTTCCTTATTCAGTCCTTTTAGGAAACCAGTAGCTCCGAGAAGCTTGATAATATTTTGTGTGTCTTGCATCATCTCTGGATGGCTTGTCAGACCATCTGGTAAATTCTGACAGTAGCTGGGCATCTTGAGGCAAGGTGGTTGTCAACTACTGGGCCCAATCACTCATCTCCAACAGGTCAAAGAAAGAGGGTCTCCAGGTCAGTTGCTTTATCTTGCACTTCCCTGGTGCTGATGTGTGTATCAGTATCAGTAGGAACACATAGAACAGGCCTGGGAGACCTGGAAGTCAGAAGGCTTCAATCTTTTCTGTCGTGGAGGCAGGAAATTAGCATTGATCCTCTTTGCTGCTGCTTTTCTTAAGCAAGTCAACCTCCAGGATATCCTGCACTGTAATCTGCTTCCATTGTAAACTTTCATAACCTGATGAATTCATTTTGACCTATAAGGTTCAACACCATTTTCCACTTTCAATTCCTTTTGGGAACAGTGAATAAAATGGAAAAAAATCCTGACAGGAGTTACTCTGATGCCGCTTTGTGGTTCTGATATTTTAAACAATTCTTGGTGGTTTGGAACATCCTGTTGTGTACCTAGAGATGGTAGAAATCTCTTTCTTGGTTTTCTCTTAAATTCTAGAGCATATGTTAGCTTGATTTTAGTAGACCCCCATGCATACCAACATTTCCATTAGAAGCCACCTAGCTGGTTCACTGTGGAGGCTTTTCCTCTAGGACTTTTCTCCCTTGCTGGGTTTAGAGGGATGTGTTGTATTGGTCGTCAACTGCAGGGCAGTCAAACTGTGTATTTTCAGGGTGAAAAGGAGGCACTGCTCAGTCTTTGCTATAACAATTGGATAAGGATTTCTTCCTTAATCTGGGTATTTCTTAAGGCTGCGGACAATGACTTTTTGTAGTTGCTCTTGATCAGCGCTTGTATTGAGGGACTAACAAAACAGCTTTCATTTCAGGAAGTGCTTGTATGTGATATTGGCCTTGGACAGGTGATCCACACCTCAGTGTTTAAACAGCACAAGACTGCCACACATCATCGGTCTTGTGGTTCCAGATCCCTCCCTCAGTATCTTGAATCTACTGATATGCTGATAAGAATCACTCCCTAGGACTCTGAAGGAGCCCACTCTGAGGCCTGCACCCTATCCCTCAGCTAGCTTGCCATTAATCTTTTTTTGCGGGGGGGGGGAGCATTTTCTGAGATTTTACCTACTTTTCCTTCCATCACTACACATCATTGTCCTTGTTATTTAATTATCAGTAATTAAAGCTGACAAAGGAACAAGACAGATCTTATCTCAAGGAGACAGAGCCAAGACTAAAGAGGGTTTCCTCCCAAAGGGAGAAAAAGCAAATTCTTGGCCCCACCTTCATGTAAAGAGTAATTAATCCTTTCATACTGACCCTGTCATTCCAGTGATGGAGGCCATGACATATGTTGAAAGTCCTGCTTCCCTAATGGGGTTTCCTATTTGTAAGGTGACTTTAAAAGGGACCTTGTGATTTTTCCATCTCCAGCTTGAAAGTATTTCTGGAACATATAAGCTCCTTGGTCATGCAGGGACTCACTCCTACTGTGAGGCTACATGCTCCAGACAGGTCTTAAAGCCTAGAGTTTTTTTAAAAAAAATAATGCCAAATCCTGCCAAAAGTGATAACCAAAATCTCCATGGTGCCCAAATATGGATAAATTTTCATCAAGCTCATATATATCAAAGTGTGATTTTTATAGGATCACAATAATCCAAGTAGATAAATTACTTCACAGTTACTTGTAATTATTCTCTTACTAAAATCAACCATTTTTTGTTGTTCTCTAGATTCAAGGAAGAATTCATTATACTGAGCACGGATGGGCCAGGCAGAAATGTGCTTAAGTTCAAGCCACCACTGTGTTTCAATACGAAGGATGCAGAGTTAGTTGTTGGCAAACTTGATATGATATTGACAGGTAAGTGAAGGAAGAAAGCCTCCTTAAAAATGGCTAATGGACACAATTCTGAAGCCAGATTGCCTACCTAGCATGCTATAGATTGATCTAAGCCTACTTGGGAAATAAAGTATTTTATAGATAAGTAATAGCGTCCAAAGACTTTGCCATCTGAAGGCCTGTTTAAAGCTTATTGCTATCAATTTACTAGACCTATCTCACAGCTATTTCCCCTCAGAAAGAGGCAATTAAGGAACTAAAGACACTTATCTATTTTGTTCTATGTGTACAATTTACATATGCAAAATTATATGGAAGCTCTTCTCTTACTGAGTGACTTTCCTACTAAATTCTTTTCTCCTTGTAAGAATGCACCAATTAGATTTTTTTTCTCCCAAAGCAGAAATCACTGTAATGAAAGAACAGATAGTTTAATTTAGGTCTAAAACAAGGATCTATAAATGAAAAAAGAGTTTTTAGCTTTATTAGTAACCATCTTTGATGTAATACAAGATGTGCTTTCCTGTTTTTCATTATGGCTTGGGGGGGGGAGAAAACGGAGTCTGACCCAGCCAGAAGACCACTAGGAATATTTTTGTGCCACTGGTAATGTAAATGAATTTTCATTCCTGATTGTACCTAAACAGTAATACTGGCCCATGTAGAATGGGCAAACAACAATCATATTGTAATTGAATATTCTGCAGAATTGGAGAAAAGAAAAACTTAAAGAAGATGATTTCCAATACTTCAAAGGGTAAGCATTCATGTATAATTATTATATACAAGAGAGCATATTCTATATGCAGGAACCCATTAATTTCATTAACTTGAATAGCTGCTATGTATCAAGTCATATTCCAACAATATACAATCTACAGCAGCATGTCAAACATAAATTAGGAAAATTTTTAATTCACTGGTTTTCACGTGTGAATCCTGAATTCTTTCATTCCATTTCTTACAGGATACAGGCATGGTGCTGAATTTTACTATTTTTCTACACTTAAATTACAGTAATAAAATTCTGCCTTCTGTAGGCTATCATAATCCAATCCACGCAGTTTTGTTGTATTGCTGACAGCATAGATTTTCAGAGCTCTATTGCTTTTATCTCTACTAATCCATTTCTTCATATAGTAAAGAGGAAAAATAATTTATCCAAAAAATGTAACTTGTCACCTTTGTGCTATATAGGTTACATGGCCGTATTTATACTTGTTTCTGCTTATATTATACAGTTAGCACCTTTGATCTGATAAAATAATTTTATGAAGAAAACAGATTTATTAAGAAATAGGTAGGCACCAGTTATTTAGCAAAACTTAACATCTAAACATTAGACTCTGTTACACAATGGCTCATGAGAATTGTTTCTGTAAGATTTTTAGCATCTCATAGAAATGTTTTATTTACTAAAGAAAGTGAAGATGTCACCAACACTGACAAGCTATTTTATTTGGAAAGCACAGTTCTACCATTACAGTAATTCAGGACCAAAGGGGAATGCTTATTTTTAAGAAGTGGACAGATCTATGTAGTATGTATCAAAAAATGATGTAACAGATGAAAAGCAACCTATTTTCTAAGAACATAGCGCCAAACTACTACTACATTCAAGGCCTTGCCTTCCTGTTTTTCTGTACCATTAACATGGAATTCCTTTGCTAAAGATAATTTTGCTGTGTCTGTCAGTCATAACAGTATAAGACTGGTGCCTCTTACTGCTTCACAAGCAGTCTTTTTTCCCTCTTAGCTACAAGTTAATTACAAATGACTTTCTGTACTTCACCAGGTAATGCATTTTCTATTGTAAAGTCCTGTTTATCCTTGCCATACCATTCTGATGTTTCATAAACATCCCTAAGATCTGAAGTGATTTAAAGCAAATGAAAATATATATTTTTAAAAAATTTGTAAAATGTACTTAACAGAACTTCAATAGTGACTCTTTGATGCTGTATATTAATAACAGTAGGCTTATCAAAACACTTCTTGCAAAATATAGTACTAGTATTCAACTGTCTACACCTGTAGCAATCATACAGCTATTCTATTTGGGGACAAACAAAAAACACAGGATGAAAACAATCATGTTAAAATACTCAAACGTGAGTAAGGTTGGAAAACCCAGAGTCACATCTGATACAGAAAACAGAATTATCATCTTTAAGCTCTTAGCCAGAGGGAAGACAGATAACTGTAATTATATTGTAATGTGGGAGAGGGGGACAGAATGTATATCAAGATCTCCAATTGATTATAATAGACTAGTGAGGGTCAGAAACTTTGAACTATACCATAATAGTCATTTTATGTCTAAATTAGGCTAGCAGTTCCTGATCAGTGGTAACTCAGATATAGGTTTACCTACTTCTACCACTCCAGCCCATAAGTTCTGGAGTGCAGTAGTTAGTAGTTTCACCTTCTGAAGAACCCTATTTAACTTGTCTTCAGTTAGTAGATATTCTAGTAAATAAGTCTTGAAAACGTTCTCTTATTGTAGTGGACAACTTCTTTGTAAGTAGTTAAGTCTGCTTTCAGTAGCCTTTTAATTTCTCAAAGGACAAAGTTCAGCATGAGTTCAACTACACATTTAACTGTAAAAAGCAAAATTCATTTTCATTTTCAAGCCCTATTTGTTACTGCTCCAATGCTCTGACAAGCAAACCATGGAGATTATAAAAATGGTCAAAAATTAAACTGGAGCCAGGCCATAGCTGTTGTTAAATGAGCTTAAACAATGACTTCTAAGTTGGATATCTTAATATCTGTTCTTATACAATTAAAATGAACTATGTTCATAACAGATTATTTATCCCATGGATAAGAGATTAAGAGTGTGTTGTCTCTCCCAAGCACAACTTCCTCTTCCAGGCCTAGTTCTAACCATGGCTGTTACCCATATAATTACATTTGGTCAGAAAGTAAATCTTACGTTAAAACAGAGCTGTCATTGTAACATGTATGATTTAAGCAAGAAATTTTTATTCTGAATGAAATGCATGATATTGTTCTCCCCATGTCTGAGCTTATTACCCTGGCTAAGATTATAGGACAAGCTGTATTTTTTTAATACTGCAAATGGAGAATTTAATGTACTTAATAGTGCATTATTAAAGATCTTTTCCCATATTTGACAGCAGGACCGCTAGTCACCTATTATCTGCTAAAAATATTAGTAACATGACTACAAAATAGCTCAGAATAAGCTAAGAGGAAGCTATAGAATAGTTTGAAAAAACTTGGAAACAGTAGTACTGAAAATCCAATGTTTACGCAGCTTTAATATTAGCTTAATAGTTTTAGCATGAAATGTTTAAATTCTAAATACTAATAAAACACAGAAGAGTACAAAAGCCAGTCAGATTGACAGTTTAAGTAAGGTCAATGAATTATTGACTTATGCCTAAGGATGGTTCAAATATGAGTGTACTACATAAGCATCCAGGAGTTTTGTACATATGGTATTGAGCATGTTTTCAGATTTTGAAAGCAGTTAAATTGAACTTGCATATACAAAAAAGCAGACTATAATGTAAGCATGTCTAATATTGTCTTGTGTGTGTAAATACAGCCTTGAGCCCTTCACTATTTTAGGTATCCAATTCTACAAATTTATTCCTAAATTCCTATGATCTTTATTCCTACACAAGCCAATCATATACTATTCTAAATCCTAACATTTGCCTGAAATGTAATACTTATTCTGCTTACTGGTTTTTCCTACCTCACAATACTTTGAATTTGTGATTAAACAATTTATTTTTGCTGGTCTTTCATCAATTTTAGGGTTAAAACATGCTCTAAATCCAACTTCTAAAATTTATGTATCAACCAGCCACCAGCATTTCTAATGAAATTCTAAGGCTTCTTTTCTCTGAGCTACAAAAGGATAGCTGGAATAATGGCACAGGATACTGTATTATGCTTTTTTATTCAAAAGCTAGAATAGCATCAATATCCATGTCATGGTGAATCAGAACACATGTAAAATACCTTACAATACATTAGATTCCAAAAAGGTACCAAAAAGTACAGTAAAATTAACACTTCCATTACAGGAAATGTATGACACAAAACCAATACAAAATAAAAAGGTGGAAAGTGATACTGGTTCCCTAAGATGCATCTCATTCTGTACAACTGGAATAACGTAGTTCATAGTTAACTCCAAGAGGCAGTCCCTAGATGCAGAAGCTGCAGCTTTAAGCAGACCCTCAAAATCAGTTTCAATTTAACCTATCAATAAAATCATTAATCTTCAGCAAGGCTGAAATTTACACACCACACTCTCTAGACAACTATTATCTGTAAATATTAAACAAAGACATTTCCAGGGAAGTCTTCAGATACACATAACAGGCCATAGAAATGTATTGTAAAGTTAATTTTGGTACATAATTGTAATGTCCATCTACAGCATTAAGTACAAAACATATGCAGTAGTTTTGTGCATTAGAGCATGCCACTGCATACCTGAATACCTTTGATCAATATGGCTTGTAGTTATTCTGATGACCACGTCTTGGAGCCTTCCCATAATTTGAACTGCCTTGACCTATGAGTAAGAAATCGATGTATTAAATTAGTAATTTGTGATGCTTGCATGTATCTGTAGCCAGGTCCTAGCCAAAATATACATATACTAAATAGTTATAGTCTCTATAGCTACATCCTACATTCAAAAACTCTTAATTCTATAGAAAGGAAATCCATCTGGAAAACCCCAAGTTTTAGAATCTATCCATACTAGAATACTGCATGCAATACATACCTCTTCTTCCACCTCTTCCTCGGCCGCCCCCAGAACCAAACTGTTGTTGCTGATATACTTCTTTTGGCTGTGCTACCTTAATTTCACACTGAAAAGATCACAACATAAAACAGGTGTTCTTAACATACAATACTATATATAAACACCACAAACAGTTTTAAATGTTCAAATATCTGAATTATAAATACACTTTCCAAACAATGAAATCTGAGGGCAGATATTCTAGAGAAAACTTCTCTCTGCTGCACGGAAGTTGACATTGTACTAGAAGATATAATTTATACACTCAGTACCTCTTTCAAAACTGAACTTTAATCTCTCAAGCTGCGCAAATCCAGCCTGTACGATTATATTTCCATATGCTGTCTGAAACAGGAAACAGACTGAGCAAAGCATAGTTCAGTTAACTATGGGTAAATATATCATGTGAACATAGCCAAGACTATATACACATATGTGCTTTTCAACTGATGGTACTATTAATGCCAAGCACATGACCTTGAGTTTTAAACCATCAGACACTGATTGTAGCCCAGGACTGGGCAACACATGCCTTCCAAATATTGTTGAATTACAATGTCCACCATCCCTCATTTTCATGATTGGAATTATTGGGAATTGAAGTTCAGCATCATCTTAAATTTCAGTACTCTAGCACCCCTACTATAAGCTCTTAAAACATGCTTCCACATTCCATCACTATTTATATTTTGTTTGATACCCTTCTGCTTCAAGCAGTCCATATTCTAATCAAGCAACTTCCTACCTTTGGCTAAGCTACCTAGCTTTATATTAATCTTTTCACAGGAATGCCTTGTTATTCAAGTGGATTTTTTTTTTAAAAGTTAAGCAGCTTAATTTCTCTACTATCATGGGATCCAAGCAAATTAATAAAAGTAAATTAATAGAAGCTTATTGATATTTCTTCCTTTGTGCACCTTGGTCTCAAAATGTCAGTCAAGGACACCTGAACATTTTAAACAAAATGCTGTGCCAAAATGAAACAAGCATTTTTCACAGACAATTCTATAAATAAGCGTATCTCCATTTAATTTGGGTTAAGTCCATTGTCTAAGAAACCTTTCTACAAACCTTCTAGCCAGTTCTGGGCAACAGTAAATACAGAGAAGGTAACAAAATAAAGATGCTTCCTTTTTTGAAAGTGGTTGCATTTTAAAGAGTGACTGTGAGGGCAATAAGGATTATTTCCGACGATATCACCACCACTTTGGTGAGGCCAAAATTTTTAGCCTACTTCATTATTTTGGTTTTTCTTCATGAACAAAAAGGGGGAAAACCCCCCCAAAAAATCTAGCATCATTTCACAGGGTTCTGGAAGCTGTAAAAGGGGTGATAAAGGCCTGTTATATTTTTGATTTCCTATTTGACCCAAGGACTATTCTATAAATAGACATTCACATAACAGCAGTAAGCCAGCGTTCTATACATACAACCTGTGTGCCTGTGCATTCCATCCTTCCTTCCTACAGTATCCCCCCCTGCATCAACAAATGTGGTCCACATAAGCCTTGTATCATTAATATTCCTTTTGAGGGAATCACAGAATCCATAGCTTCTAGGTCTGATATAATGGCAAATGGCTGTTTCCATGAAAATGTAAATTAATTTACTGCCTTTATATATCAAACTAAGCAATATTTTTAACTAATGTGTGGAACGCTCTTCATATTTAATGCTAGGAAGTATACATGTCCCAAATTACTAATATTTAGCTATTAACTACAAATTATTTGGGATAATGTAACAGAGAAATATTTTGTCTAGAAACTATTAGCCTGTACTTCTGGAAACCAGATATGTACACTGTAATACCATCTACACTTACTGATGTTACTTCAAATCTTTGATCATGGAATTAAAATAATCTGGATATTCTTTCTGATTCTATAGTACAAATATCATATAGATCTTGTGGCTAAAAGATTACACAAAGGTATATTTATTCTGCTCATTATATAATTTCTACACTCAAACTTTATGACTTGTATTTTTCTCCTTCCAACCATTTACAAAATGTAGGGAGATAATAGGCTCCAGTCCACTATACAGAAGCAAACTGATCAACCTCAGTGCATTGGTCGTTATAGCAATTAGTTAAATATGCATGTTTATTCAGGAAACATAGGTTTCCGCAGGTTATTTGATTTAAAATTATCTCAACAGCTATAGAAATTAACCGAAGCATGTCCACCATATTACATGCTACACTAACAGAAAAAATGATGCTAAACAGCATTGATAATTCTACACTCACAAACCTTTATAAGAAGTTGGTTTCAGCTATAAACAACAGGAGTAAAAATGCTATAAAGGGTATGCTTTCTCCTCACTGTACTTTTTTCAAATATTAAACATGAGATATAAGCTCAACTCCTCGTTACTTAGAGCTTAAAATTAATCATTCTGTCATGAATTTCCTACCTTACTACCACTGACATTGTGGAATTTTTTCTCCAAGATTTTCTTCACTGGTTCTTCTTCCTTAAAAGTGATGAATACAAACCCTCTTCTTTTATTGGTTTTTGGATCCATTGGAAGTTCAATCGCTTCAATCTAAAGAAACACAGTAATTCAAAAGTATATTAGAATTATCTACTACATTAACTTATTCAATAATTCTGATCAGTCTCTAACTCTAAGCCTCTAATGTACAACTTCCTGTTAAAAGTAGCTGCAACTTGTTAAGTATTAGGAACTCATTAGATGAAAGTTACATTCATAAAGAATGTAACAAATGCAAGTTATTATTGCTCTGTGCAATTACATATGAGGATTTGTATAACAATTTCATCCAAAGACAACCATCTGCTACCTAAAATGATTAGAGCTTATTAGAAAAACTATTTACTATAAACATACCATACTTGAAAAATCACTTATAAGGAAATACATATACAATCAAAATAAAAAAATAGATATTTGGTATGTGGGCCTATATGATTTGTCAACCATTTATACAAATACCATGATGTAACCAATTTTAATTTAACTGAAATACAACCATATAAATACATACATATGCTATTGAGTGGCAGTCAATCTGACTCTGCGTCATATTGTATACCCCATATTTCTACTTAAAACTACTTTGGGTTAAAAAATAAATTGCTTTACTATTTCAAGTTAATGCTGGCCTATCTACCTAAACTTGCATCAGATTACACACCTCTCCAAACTCTCCAAAATATTCCCTGATTTTGTCTTCTGCTGCTTCTGGGTTAAGCCCACCAACAAATATTTTCTTCACAGGATCCTTTTTCATTGCCATTGCTTTCTTAGGGTCAATCACTCTTCCATCTAGTTTGTGTTCTTTCTGCTCCAAAACCTACAAAGCAGTTCAATAAATCAGGATAAAACTGACAGAACATTCATAAGATTATTAATAGTTTAAGTGTCTCAGTCCATCTAACTCACCTTATCAACACTTGCTGCCTCTTTGAAGAGAATGAATCCAAAACCTCTTGATCTGCCTGTATTAGGATCCATCTTTATTGTGCAATCAGTTACTTCACCAAATTTTGTAAAGTAGTCTTTTAAGTCTTTTTTGCTTGTATCCCAACTGAGGCCACCAACAAACATTTTCCTGTAACAAGGTAAGAGACACTGAAGAATGATGATCACTATTATCATGGCAGTATCTCATCATATGTCAATATAATTTAACTTCTAGAATTTGTGATTTATAGCCTTACTTGCATAAAATGAGTTTGCACAGGTTATACCAGTGGTTCAAAATTTCAGGTCTTCAGTTACTTACAATAAAAGCTAAACAAACCAAGGTGTTTTACCAGCAGAAGTCATAAAATTAATGATTCTAACTCATCTCAACAATTTTGGAAGCATAAAGCCTCATCAAGACCGAAACTTCTCATTTAAGTAATACTGGTTTTATTTTCTATCATAACATTCTGTCTTCATTACAGTTTTATTTAGATATAATCAAGCCTCCTAGCATTTCAATTTGGCTGTGTGGAATTATGTAAAGGATGTTGGAGTGGGGGAGAGAGTCTTCAAGTGCAGGCTTTCTCTAAGACAATTTAATGGAACAGAAAAACAAACAAGACAGAAAGAGACTAAATATAAATAACTTAGCCTCACTTTTACAAGGATTATACTGGAGTTACCTTCATCATCTGAAGAAAACTAAGTATCAGCTAAAATTACATAAATGCTAATGGACCTGCAATAACTAGACCTGGGAGTGTAGAGTTAAATAACACTGCCACCCAATAATTTCAAAAATA